ATACTTTCTACTACTTAGTTACTTGCACTTTAGAGGTGTTGTTAAAGCACTGTACAGTGCTTGTCACAGTTGTGTTTGAATTCAACACAGACAATATTGTACATTTTTATTCTGCTGAATAAACCATGACAGGAAACAAACATGCTGGGATCAATTTGTTCTTAAACATTGGTAAAACTGCGCACATTACTTAAAAATATACTTAGGCACTTAATAACTTGTGTATTTACTTATTATTGAATCGATATCGAAGCTAATAAGTCAATATTGAATCGAATCGAAGCCTCAAGAATTGAAATCGAATCGAATTGTGAAATACCTAACAATACCCAGCCCTACTTTTTAATGGGGACAAGGGAGGTCCCGTACAGTACAAATATATTAGGCCCAGAATACGGGACGTCCCGGTTAATTCGGGACAGTTGAAAAACCTATGTCTATCACAGAAATGCAACTGTTTCTCAGAATGAAATGCGACCGTTTCTCTCAGAATCGTAAGATTAACTCACATTGCGAGTTATACAAAGTCCGAATTGTGAGATATAGGCCCAGTTTGACCCGCAGAGCTTAGATTCAATTAGTTCAATTAAGACATTTAAGTAGCTTTTATGAACATGCCTGAGAAAAAAAAAAAACATTACTGGTGTGCATCTTGAGACAAAATAATGAAACTGACATATTTTAAGATATATCAGTGCAAGTTAATCGCTTTCAGTTACAACAGCTCAAACTCAGCATTCTAGTCTGGGACTAGCTTAAACCGTGTTTGTGAAAACAAGCGTTAAACTTTCAATTTTGAAGAAAAAAATAAAAAGAAGAAGCATTTTTTGATTATTCTTATTGCCTGGCGGAAACAAGCTTCCATATTTTCAACTGATTTTCCTTCAGATTTCAAATTAGACATCAACAAAGTACCAAAATATGTGATCAACAGCAGAAAATCACAGTTACTTACTTTTTTCTCCCCCCACAATTTATTAATGGTGTTTTTCCCACGTCTTGTGTCCGAGTCATCGATAACGTCATCGTGCACCAGACTGGCAGTGTGGATCATCTCAGAGATCATAGCGATAGAGCGCTGCGCCGGCAGCAAAACCCTGAGGACATCAGATGTGCCGTATTAACACTGACTGATGCATCACATTAAAACACACACACACACACACACACACACGCACACACGCACACACACACACAGCACTGAAGTCTTTCTCACCCCTCTTTATTGCTGTGGACGTTACAAGCTCGAGCCATCAAGATCACAATCATGGGTCGAAAGGATTTTCCCTTCCCATCAAAGTAATAATCACAGAGTGCTTTGAGCTCTGCTTTAGAGACGAGCAGCTGCTGAAGACACGTTCAACAAGGTCAGTTTGAGGCCATAGAAGAACATAAAACATCTCAGAGAAGAGGTGGAAAGTGTTTGGGCATAATTACTGAAAATAATACTTCATAAAACAACAGTGGACTAGAAAAAGAAAGTTTAGTGGTAACCGCTATGTAGTACTATGTAGAATTCTTGCTGTACCTTTTTTATGTCTTCATATAAATCTTGCAAGTCCTTTTGTGCGAGTGAGAAAGGATCTTTTAACTTTGCATCACTGTGTAAACTGCAACAGACCCGTGGAGTTGAGAACAGACATCTAGACCGGTGTCTGAGACAAACATGGGAAAAAAGATTCAATAAACACAATAAAAGTTATTAGTACAATATACTAACAATACTAGTTATTAACAAAAAAAAAAAAAAAAAAACAATGTGCATGTATGAATGAATCTCATTTCACTTGAAAGTCAATATATTTAAGCATTTAAACTGCAACTTTGAATGGGGTAGAGTAAACACTTTTTATCAAATCTGCCATTTAAATATATTTTTATTAGTGCTGGGCAGCGATTAATCGCGAATAATCCTATCCAAAATAAAAGTTTGTGTTTACATAATATATTTGTGTACTGCATTTAATTATTTTGTATATAAAAATACACACATGAATGTTATACATTTACATATATTATAGAATAATGCATTATATACATATAAAATATTTATAATATAAATATATGTATATACATGCAATTATTTCTTACATATACATGTACACGCATATATATATTATGTAAACACAACACAACTTTTATCTTGGATGCCCAGCACATAATTTATATGTAATGTTTATGCCCATTTACACAACTGCAATATATACAGTATATATATATATATATATATATATATATATATATATATATATATGAAGTTATTTCAGTAGAATGTAATTAATTACTCCAGTCTTCTGTGTCACATAATCCTTCAGAAAATAATTAATATGCTAATTTGCTGCACAAGAAACATTTTGAATGACTATCAATGTTGTGATGTTGTGCTGCTTATTTTTTGGGCGGGAACATAATTATGAAATATATCCTTCTAACCTCAAACGTCTGAACTAATTAAATAGTTTCGTTTAAATAATTTCTTTCTTTTTTTTTTAAACACACATGTTTTGTCTAACTGAAACTGTCATAAGTAATACTCATAACATTATGTAACTAGAATTTAAACCTAATATTTTTTGTAATAGTCCATGTTACACCTTCCCTGAATGACAACTAGCCCCAGTGTACCTATACACATTTGTACTAACTACACATTTACACCATGACATTGACATACCTCGCAAGGATCATTGGTTTGTTAAAATTATGTACAGGGCCCTGCCGGAATAAAACCTGAAAAACATAAAGTACCCATCAAAACAATAAAGCAAACTGTGCTCAGGATATTAACATTTGCCAAAACACAACTTACACAAGCACAACACAAGACTTCCTGTGCAACATTCTTGTCCAGCAGTGACATTGAATGGCATGCAAACCTGAGCAGTGAGTCTCTAATGAATGAGTTCTTGACCTTTAACACACAGTTCAGGCAGGAGATCTTTACAAACACAACTGCAATCATCTAAGACTTGCAACGCATGACATTCGAACTCATCTCAAACCTAATGTGATAATATACGGCAGTGATCTGATCTGTCATTCATTGGCTCACACCGGTGACCTTCATCATCTTCATCATAAGTGATCGCGTTACCTGTGCCACAGCGTAGGACGACGCGCTTCTTCTGCCTGCTGAAGTCGTGTGTGTAAAAGCTCTTCTGCTGAGCCCACAACACCAGTCCAGTACTACAGCAGCTCCAGCTCTGCTCCTCCAGCACAGGCTCCACGGCACCGCCATGACGCCCCAACAGAGAGCCGCACATGCCCAGTGACAACACGTTACGGAACCGCAGCATGAACCGGAAGCTATTGCTGCTGCTGAAGAGGAGGGTCGTTTTAGAAATAGAATAAACCATAGAATAAAGGGAAGAAAAGGCGGAAAACTAAAATGCTATTGTTCGATATAATAATTATCCTATTTTAAACAATAACAATAAAAACTATACAGAATAAAAAAAAATTACACTATATAATTGGCTAAAAATATATATACATCAATAAAAAGGAGTAACTTAAGCCTACTTATACTTTTACTGGATATTCTGTCGTTCTTAAGTTGCCAGCAGACATCTCTCACAACTAAGACCAGAAACACCTCCAGTCATTATCTGTTCATTAAACAGCTAGCAGTCCAGTTTTTTTACTCAACTAAATTTAGGCCTATATATATATATATAAATCTCATACACAGGAGGCCACAGAAGATCTAGCTGGATTAATGACAAGTATTCAATAGAAGATGCTACAAAAGTATTAAAGTCCCTATGAAATAAAAAAAAAATATTTATAGAATAAAAATTATAAAATACTATACTCTATTTTGCTTTCGTTAAAGATCTATGGTGTTTTGCGTGTTATGTGCATGTTTTGTGGTGTTCTGTTTTAAAGAAATGTCGCCATAGTTTCGGAAATTGTGTTTAAACCATTTTGAAAAACTAAAGTAAACACTAGTGATATAAAATTTATATTATTATGAATATTACAAACTTTAGTAATATTACATTCAATTAAATTAATATTACAAACTTTATTAATATTACAAAAATTACATAATGTTTCTTCACACAACTGCAATATATACAGTATATATATATATATATATATATATATATATATATATATATATATATATATATATATGTTTCAACTGCTTATGTTTACAGACAGATAATGTAAGCCAAACATTTCAAGTAATGTTAGCAAGTTAGTTGCCAAAGATTTTATTTCATTCAACCCCTAGCTATACAGGCCAAGGCCTGGGAAGCCATCTCCGCAATATCAAAATAAGTGTCGAACATAATAAAACGGAGCTACTTGCTACAGTTTACTCGAAGACCTCCTCACTTTCTAGCTGGGGTCGAGATGTGGCTCACGTTCTTCGCACTAAAGTTTCAAAACTGTTAGTAAAAGGTGCTGTAGACCCACTCCCTTTATCACTATAAGCAAGTCGGGCTTTTACAAACGCTGCGTCCTCGTTCCAAAGAAAGATGGCGGCCTCAGGCCCATCTTAGATCTCAGACACCTAAACAAAGCGCTTTTGACACACCCGTTCAGAATGTTGACAACCAAACAAATCCTCGCACAAATTCGCCCAGGGTGTTTTTTTTTCTTGGTGGATCTGAAAGTTGCTTACTTTCTCATTCAGATAACATCACATCACAGGCCATTCTTGAGATTCATCTTCGAGGGGCAGGCTTATCAGTACACAGTCCTGCCATTCTGTCTATCCCTATAGCATGCCGTACGTTTACGAAGTGCATGGACGCAGCTCTCACCCCCATGAGACAATGAGGAGTGAGTGTTGAATTACCTTGATGATCGTGTTATGAATTAAATAATAACTCTACTCAAAGATAACAAAATCATCCGTAACAATTAACACGGATCTGATCAACAAGACTCCTGTTAAAGATAAAATTTAATAGATCATGATATATATATATGATATATATATATGAAGAAAAACAGAAATTAATGTCTGATGAAATCATATCCGTCACTATTTGCCGGAGACATTTAAAACACTTCTATTAATCTTCTGTAATCACATTCTTGTAAATTCTTGTCACCTTTTCCTAAATAATAAATTACTAATATATACACTGTATCTTGTTGATTAAAATAATGTAATTGAATATTGGAAGTTACACCATCAACATTGTAATCAAGCAGTGCAATATCTAATCAATAACAAATCTTACATGTGACCATTCCCAGTTTAGTCAACAAAAAGATGCGTCTTCAGCAGTTTTCATGGGTCATCACAAATAGAAGAATCTTACATTATTTATTAGTGTTCGAGTCCTCTATTACATCATTGTGTAAATCTGATCTATAATTTTAAAAAGAAATCAGACCCACAAAAAGATCCAAACAAGAAACTGCTGTGAAGTCTCTCTCTCACACACACACACAAGAGTGAGATCACTGTGACGCCTCTGTATCTTCAGTCTCTGTTGACTGTGACGTCTCTGTAGCGGCTCCTTATTCACCATCTGAGGAAAATACAATTAAACACACAGACAGTCACATATGGAGTACGAGACATCACTGCGGTCACATCACACCAGTCGATTCATTTCAGAACAAACACAGGCAGAGATACATTCAGAGTACATTAATATTACAGCCAGAGATGTAAAGGTGAGGAGAACATCAGAGCTGTTGTGCTGCACGCGGGGGAACGACAAGCTGCGACAGTCGGAGATTCTGGTCAAGACCATTGTGAAAAGATCGTGTCAGGAACACTTCCCACTTACCGTCGTGGAAACTAAAGCTCCAGTAGATTATTCACATTATATGAATGATGTGATGAACAGAAACTACTCTCTCAATGAATTATAATTGTAAAATTCTTCTGTGACAATGTCCTGCAGTCCAGAGTCAGAGCGGACCTGCTGTCGGACAACATCTATGTACTGATTAAATGATAACAGCATATGTAGTCCATTCCATAGAGACAGTGTCTGTTCTCAGAATAATGAGAATAAATATTGTTTATTACAGGATCCAGGAAAAATAACTGAGCAGTGAAACTGCCCGCTGTTCCTCAGAAAAATCCTGCAGGTATTGCACATTTTTAGGTTTTCCAACGTCTTCTGCATATTTGACACCTTTCAAATGACTCTATGATTTTGAGATCCATCTTTTTACATGACAATTGAGTGACTCATACACAACTATTACAAAAGGTGAAAACATTTACTGATGCTCAAGAAGGAGCAGGTGGTGTAAACTTTATACTTCCCTGTTTCGCAGAAGACAAAATAATTACAATTTATCCCGTTCATGCAATTTAAAATAAAATATGTATTTAAAATTATATATTTTTTCTTCAAGAAATACTGTGTAAAACTGATGTTGTTAAAAATAATATGCAGGGGAAAACCAAGTCCTATGTTTGGTGGACCCTGTGTGTTACAAACCTTATTTCTATTCCAAAGTTTTATAAATGATTTAGATTAGGTTACAAAGCTTGTAAAATCTAATGAAAAATGTTACAAATAACTGTATTTTGTAATCTGTAGTGAATAATCCACTTACAATAGTGTCTCCAGTTTATAATGTGGATCATTCTTTAGATCAGAGAGAAGCTTGATGTCTGAATCTTCTAGTTTATTCCCAGTCAGATACAGTTGTCTCAGGTGTGAGGGGTTTGATCTCAGAGCTGAAGTCAGAGCAGCACAACCTTCATCTGTGACTCCACAATAACTCAACCTGTAGAGAACAATGACACTGTAAACCGAGTGTAAAATTACCATTTTATTGAAGACTGCAATGTGTGATGTGATTTGAATGTAGTGACAAGCAATGCCACCCACTATATTTTACACTGTTTTATAAAGGATGTACTTGAGGTAAAACTGAGGGACAAATACCATGCAGTGAAATTGAATGAATTAATCCATTTAGGGAACCATATTAAAATCACTTTAAAACTTCTTAATTATGTTACTTGGAAATGACTATTTTCCATGATGTTGACATTATGTGAGCTTAATTGGTGTGTGAACCGATGTGGATGATTAAATCATTTAAATCTAACACACTTTTCAGTTCATTGTTTTCTGTATTAAAAATAAATACATTTAAATTTACTGTAAAACATTAAAAATGCCATCATTGAAAAGTGGAAGATTGATCAATTTATTAAAGAAATTTAAATTAATAGATGACCTTGAAGCCTTTTTTTCCCTGATAATGTTTTTTTTTTCTATTTTATTTTCCTTTTTTATAGATTTGTGCTCTGTTCTGTATGGCATGTATATATTATAGTTTTGTGTTGCGTTATTGTAATGGTATTTACTGCAATAAAACTTCCGCGTTATGTCCGCATTCCTGGATTCCTATGGAAGTCTATGGGTGTTGTACAGTAACTGTCAGTTCAAAAACACTGTTGTTTTAATATAACATTTAAACGTTGTGTATTTGTGTAATGTTTTGTCTCGTTTGTGATGTGGAGTATATACCGTATATATAAATATATATATATATATATATATATATATATATATTTCTGTGTGTGTGTTTTAGGATTAGCATGTTTAATCAAGCATCGGTGATGTTTACTGATTTAACAGAGTATTTATTTAAAGTGCATTTGGACTGAAGTATTACTCACTTGTAATTTGTTGTCTAAGAATCACACATAATACTACTGGTTTTGGTTTTCCTGATAAAACTATAATTGTAGAGAAAATGAGCTCTCAATAAAATGTATTCAATTGTCTCTCATTTGTGTTGGGTGGATGTGTTGTTTGTTTGCACTCCTTCTTCAGACCCGAAAGCAAGCTATGGTTTAACAAGCAAAGTTGGTGATCAATGAGTAAAAAAGTTTAAACTATTACATTATTAATAAAGAATATATTTAGGGGAGCGCGGGGCACAACCTAACGCGGGGTTAAATGTAACACGGACGTTTTACATAGTTCGTCAGGATCAAGCCGGCTGTCTTTCCGCTCTTTTTCTCTTGCTGCCAGAAGACGATCTCCCGCGAATTTGCGGAAAGTTTTGATTATATTTCGTGAAGATACTGGACAAAGAGTGTTTTGACACCATAAAAGTAAATTTTTTCATCATATATTTTTTTTCGGTTTCTGAGTTGGGTGTATACGTTTCCAAATCTAACTTTATATTGCCTTAATCACTGTCTTGTTGGCTCAAACATAGCACCGTTTTGAAACATGTCAGCAATTCCTAGCGACTGTTAGCTAGGTTTAAAATATGTAATACACAGCGAGGTTGTTTGTAATACAGTGTTACAACTAAGACGCCAAGTGTACAATGATAATCAAATGAAAACGGAGCCACACAACTTTTCAGGTTTGAGTATACATTTAACTTTGTTGGACTTTCACAAACAATGTTGGAATTTAAAATGTTTAAAATTTAGTGTACTATGAATGATAACTTGTTTATTTATTAAAAATATGGCATGTTTTTAATGCAATAAACCCTTTAAATTTTTATTCTAAGCTCATTTGTATTATTATTACTGTTATTATTATTAATAATAATAATTGTACATGCAGCTGCCACACACAAATCTAATTTAATTGCAATTACAATATTTTATAATTTTATTTATTATTATATATTGCAAAACTGTGCTCTTTTCTATGTCTCTATCCATGATATTGATCCACAATAGAAGGATGATTGGATGAGGGATGGATGTATGGATATCAGTCTATACAAATGCACAAACAATATCAAACTATACAAATAAAATAGTCCTGAATTATGTGTGTTACACACAAGTGTTACAACTAACCCCTCTGTCTGTTACAATTAACCCCGCATATGGGGTAAGTTGTAACATTTGCACTTCTGTCACTTTCAGTCCAACTGTACGAATATGGTAGGTCCTAGAAAAAAACTGTGTTCATTCGTAGCAGAGATGTGTATGTTGCTTGTGGAAAAAAAAATTATCAATCTAACCTAATTATTTTTTAATTAATTGAGCCAAAACTAAAATGCGTTGTGCCCCGCTCTCCCCTACCAAGCAAAAAAAAAAAATATATATATATATATATATATATGTGTGTGTGTGTGTGTGTGTGTGTGTGTGTGTGTGTGTGTGTGTGTGTGTGTGTGTGTGTGTGTGTGTGTATCAGAGAGACAATCTTACCTCAGATTCTCCAGTTTACAGTGAGGATCCTCCAGTACAGCAGTGAGCAGAGGAACTGAATCTCCTAGTTTATTCCCAGTCAGATTCAGTTCTCTCAGGTGTGAGGGGTTTGATCTCAGAGCTGAAGTCAGAGCAGCAAAACCTTCATCTGTGACTCCACAATAACTCAACCTGTAGAGAACAATGACACACTCTTCATTCTCTCAGTTCAGATCAGTTTACCAGTGAATCCATTATTAAAGAGAAAATACAAACTTAACCCTAAAACTGTATTCTGGACAAATGTGGGCAAAATAGTTTTGATTTATTTAAAAAAAAATACTTCCCTTGATCGGAGCAGTACAAGACTTGGCTACTTTTCCTGAGTTTGCCTCCTGAACACACACACATTTTTTGACTCAATTCTAGAATGTTAAGTGGGTGAAAAAAAAAAACTCCATAATCTTGTATTTGGGTCAAAAATGGGCACCCATAGAAATGAATGGGAAAAACTAATCTAGAGCATTCTAAAATAACCCAAAATAAGGCACCAGGTGACAGCAAAGTCACTTCATCTTTAGGTTTTAGCTCTAAGAACTTACTGGAATGATATTTTAATGTAGTTAAAAACAAATAAATAAATAAAACATAAAAATAGGCATAATTTACATAGAAAATATGGTACTTTTTGAAGTAAAGAAATTCAAAATTACCCCCAAAATAGAAAGAAAAAAAACCAGAAGACAAAACTTTATCGAAGACAGTGACATAACGTTTCGTAACGAGTCCTCTGTGCCCACATTTGTCCACAATTACAGGATTAAGGGCTAAAAAGTGAATACAGTTTGAGGGCTACAGCACAAATTAACATTTTTGATGGATCATAACATTGGTCACAAAGCTCAAAACATAATTATTAAAAATCGTCTTTTTTTGTCTGTACTAATACAGTATGTATGGAGTAATGATTTGTTTTAATTGTTTCAATATTTAAAAAACAGTCCCTGCAAAGATGAACGTGATGAACTGCAAGAATAAATCCAGCATGTTCTTCATTTCTAAGTTCTGAATGTGTTGAGATCGAGTCGGTTTATAATCAAGAGACTGAACTGAAGTGTTGATTGTGATGTGATGTGTGTATTTCAGTGACTCAGTCCTGCAGAATCATGTTACTGAAGAGCAGCTCATGTGTTCAATCACAGTTTAATAAGGTCAATAACATAGCAGCTGAAAAAGGCTGTACATTTCAAATATAGGCTACTTTACATTGTGTTTCATGCGCAAGTCATAGATCTTAGATCTTTTGAATAGTTCTAACACTAGTCTTCATAGACAGAAACTGAATAAAGTAATCAAATGGAAAATAACACTAGATAGTATTTTAGTCCTGAATAAATTAAACACATAGGCTATTAATCCTGATTCCTTTAACTAAAACCTCTCTTTTGTTGTTTTGACGACAAAATTAATGACCGACACATTATGATTAATGTCACTTTAAGAGCTAGTGCATGGATTCTCTCTTCTGCTTATTAAAGACAAAACCGACTATGTTTAGACCATTATACCAACGCATTCTCACCCCAAGGCGTCACCTTTGACCACGCGATCCTACGGCGTCATCTAACTGATGCTAAAGGAAAGCGTCAGTTAGAGGACGCGGTTAGGTTTAGGTGTGGGGTGGGGGTAGGGTACACGCGATCCTAGGGCGTCATCTAACTGACGCTAAAGGGCGCCTAAAGCGTCAGATATTGAAGCATGTCCAAATGCTTCCCAAGGCGTCAGTTAAGTGACGCCTTGGGGTGAGAATGGGCTGATTATACACACGAAGAGCAATATAGCTAATCCGTGAAAAAATAACTTTTGTTTCTGGCCAGCTGTTCTTCATAGTCATCCCAGAGAGCGCACAAGGACTGATAGTTTAAAATTGCTTGAATGTTAAACAGGTAAGACTTAAAAAGACGTGCAAATGGTAAGCTTTATTCACGATGCTGGCCCGAATGCAAGTGAATATTCCGTCATGTCCCGACTACTGAACGTGAGTGTGTAGTATCGCAGCAGCGCTTGATGCGCCTTCCACAACACGAGAGAAGAGAAGACGCGGCACCGTTGAAGGCTCGCGCTGTTTGTGAAATTGCGTCTGGCAGATAGTTATTAAAAGAATGATTTGATTTTATAATATGTGTGGATTACGATTGTGGGACTATTCCACATTATAAATGGGAGACGGTGAGACCTGCAGGAATTATTAGAATTGTGCGCAACACCCAGTAACTATAGTAACAGCATGAGAAGACGCGCTCCGTTGTAGTGAGCACTTGGTCGGTTAATTTCATTTTCTACGTTAACGTTACCCAGATAGGCTAGTAATAAATTAACACGTGTAATGAATCTTGGCCAGGCGAATTACATCAACATATACACGCACACACAAACCTTTCACTTCCCCCACACATCGGAATGTGTGGAATGTTTTTGAACAAAGAGAAGGACTTTTGGTGTTTAAAAACATTCAACAAATGTTTTCAATGGTTTTTATGTATATGTGTCTTCCCCATGTCACAGTGAAATAACTTTGTTTGGTCACAGTTTAAATAGGAATTAAAAATACCTTCGTCATGCATTTGAAACATAAGTGTATATTCCTTTGATATAACATAATGTTCCTTGATATCTCTAGAATGCTTATTGAATGAAACACTCGAATATGCATAGAGATGTAAAGTAAAGTGTATTTTTAATTCGTTGTACTGCCAATGAAGATCAAATTGCTATTGCAAAACCCTCATTTAACACACCCCCTTCCACGAGAAGCGCGCGCTGAGGAACAAAAGAAAGCTTCCCGCGTGCAACATCCACTCTCCGATTGGCTCAAGCCAACAGGAAGGGGATGGATTTCTCCAAGGTGATAAATGTGAGAACGCAGGTCCGCCCTGCCTCTCTTCTGAACTTTCCAGCGCTCAACATGTAAACCTCACGGGACTCTGATCCAACCATGGATCTTTCCTTTTGTTCGTCTAAAAGTTTCATCTTTTCCTCAAGTGGACTACCAAGTTCGTCTTCCAGGAAAGGGAGTGGACTTTGCCGAACTATCTCCTCGGGTAACGCAACCTCAAAGACTCTCAGCCTTTCAAACGCTGGCGCTAAATGCCGACGAACGCCACGTGACTCCCCACGGAACAAAGCAGCCATGAACGAGTCGGGACGGGCCGCGCAAACACGCCGCGGCCGCGCTTCACGTGACGCACGCGCGCCGGACCGGCGCACCTCTAGCCGACACGTGCAACGAGCCCACGACTCACACAGACCCAATTGTGCCCTGCAAGTATACCTTCTTTTAGAGCTTCTAAGAAGCGTTAAGAAAGTGTTTTCGTGGTGTTCAGAAAGGTTAACTGACTGTTTTGAGGAACGTAACTCTCTCTCTCACAACTCACTCTCTCTCTCACTCTCTCTCTCTCTCTCCAACTCACTTAACTTGCGCGTATCCATTGTCTAAACGCTCTGCGTCGTCTTAGTTTGTGTTTAATGTTTGTAAATACATGTATCATTGTAACGTAGTGAATGCTTAAGTAGTAACTTTATTAAATATAAAATATGCTTACCTTGACTGATTGTCTTGCTCATAATACGGGTCAATGAAATGTCAATTTAAAGCTACACGCTTTACAGAACTATAAATACCTAAGAGGGTATTTGGTTATAGAGCAGGGAAGGCAGATTCTAGTGGCCACAGAATTTGTTTTCACAAGCTATATAACTTAATTGAGCTAATTGATTTTGCCTGTCTTGTAAAACGTGGTCCTTGCAATCAATAACAATTAATTTGTGGTTGATTGCGGGGATGCACATGTATGCATATGGGTAAAATTAATAAATTAACATGTAAGACCGGTCTGATCCAAATCTGTATGAATAATTATTAATTATCAATTATTAATTACGATATGCAAATTCCCCCCCTGATCAGAACCGACCCAGAGTCTTTACATTGGTGGAGAATGAATGCGGGGCATTTCAAACTTGTTTATGAGCAATCAATTTCAAGCTAATGTGTATATTGTTATTTAATATTGTTTATGTAATATTTAATATTACACGCGCATCGGAGTGAACGCTTTGCGAACTCACGATATGACTGATCTGGGCACGAAAGCCGCCTCAGTCAAACACATTTAACAAGCTGCTAAATGTTCAAACATTTTAGTCACTGTTAATTGTTGAAAATAAACTGCAGTTTCCATAGTATTAAATTTGTTCTGGCACAGATGGAAGAGAAACCTCTGTGCATAAACGACACTTTTAATAATTTTAACTCCACTGTCCGGACGAAATTCTCCGAATAGTGTCGGAGAAAAGATACGGTAAAACGATGCTCTTTTACTGTTCTTAAAAGGCCTTATATTATAATCGTTAGAGTAACGATAAGCTCCTGGTTGAAAAAACATTGACTTAGCTACTCAATGTATAAAACCGTCAAGCATATTATCATAAGTGCTATTTGATATATGCCTGTTGGAGCAGGAAACAGACGAGTAATTCCTGTTTTCCTTTGCACAATGCAGCGAAGAAAACCTGCGAACGTGTTTTAAACAAATATAGCACCAAAAAATCCAAAACTGAAAACATTCCAATCATTAATACTAGTTTTGATAAATGTTATTTGGAGTTTTGAAACAGACGAGTAATTCCTGTCTTCTTTTGCACAACGCAGCGAAAAGAAAAAAATCCTGCCAAACGTGCTTGTAAAATATCGTACCGGAAAGAAATCCGTCGAGATTTAAAATTCCGTAATATTTTTGATTATTCTCCCTCTGAGAATATCACAGGGGCAGCAGGTGGTTGTAATACTACTGCCAGACACTAGGGTGCGCCCTTGAGTGCTTTGCAGTATCAAATTTCCACCGGTGTCCTGACTTTACCCCGTGTGAGCGCAGTGGCGCCATCGTGTGGACACTAACAGCTAGGTCATCTTTTCCTCAAAATTCTCTGTTAGAAAATTCCTATTTTCTTACTGAAATTTTGAACTAGTTTCTCTAACTTTCAATGCATGTGCAATTTACAGCCTCGTTGTAATAACATGATTTTCTTTACCTTGACTGTGTGCACTTGTTTTGAATTTGGTTCAAACCACGTTTGAATTTAAAATTCAGAATTAAGTCTTAGCAGCTTCTGATGACCACTTAG